CTCCAATGTAGACATCAGCTAATAATCAAGGAAATTAAAACACTGATACAACAGATCATAGAATTGGACCAAAGTAGAAAAAATAACCTCCTTCATCTTGAACTTCATAAGAGACACGATGGATCCATACTTCTTCCAAAAATATTTAGAGCTCTCGATCTCGAGAATCAAACTCATCAATTCATCTATCTTAGGGTCCTTGAAATTGTACTTCCGAGTCTTTCTTTTTCCAGAATCCATGGTAAAAAATTACCTGAGATATTTGCAAAAAGTCAACTTTAAGTCCCTTGAACGAAATGTTTTAAAGGATGCTCATGGGTGCATGAATGCATGGTGCAACAATCACACACAAGATCACAAACATGGGGTTCATAGGTTCGACATCACGAGCATGAAGTCAAAGGTACTACCCACAAGGTATGGACTAATAGTTTATCACCTTCCAAACAAGGTTCTAAAAGGTTCCTAGAGTCTACATCCTTCCTTCGGATATTACCAATGTCCCTATTAACTCGGTAATTAGTAATATTCTCAGGAAAAACTCGTCTGAGTTTAGCATCACGTGACAAACATTTACGGATTACTCCGTCATAGTTTCCGCACTACACCTAAAAGGCCAAGATGGGTTAAGGGTTCTACAGTTCTCAGCTTCAGCAGGCTCTCAGGTCGAAAGTAGCACGTCTTCTTCATTACTCGGTAAATGACACTACAGTCAAATGGGCCTCCATTAAGTGGGGGGTCTCATGCCTACTTTTTTGGGATTACTCCCTCAAAGTTAACATGACTATACCGCCCGTCCTATCTTATGTTTTCCCAAGTCCGGGTAGAAGACTTATGAGAAATCACCAAGCACCCTAAAAACCAGGAAAATTCAGACAAACATATATACATCACATAATATACAACACATTAAAAGCTCCAACGGTACTATTCTCTCAATCCTATATAAAGCAACTTTTTATACTAGTGGATACATGGTTAAGTGGTTGGGTGGCTGAACTGCACCAAGAATTTCACAAGCACAAAGCAATATCACTTTGAAATGCAATATTTACACTGAGTTGTTGCTCTATAGTGTAATATTTTACTAAGCATATTAAAGTGTTAAACAGCTTCCTAAGAAGCAATATGTTCATCACAACTTAGTTCCAAGAAGGTTGTTAATTTTACAAGAAAAACATCTGAACAACAGAAATAATGAAGGATCAACAAGTAATAAGAAACACGAGCCAATAATCGTGTCTTGATAATTGAAGAAAAGAAGTTGAAGATCTCAACAAGATGTCATTCAAAATATAAATCAAAATGCATCTCAAGAGAAACCAGAAAAGAAGTAAAAAGCTAATTTGTTCAACTTGATTAACAAAGAAGATGAAGATAAGAATACTACAAGATGTTTTGCACTTAATCTCCATAACATTCAATCTTGTAGAAACATTCAAAACACAAGAGTTGTTGCTCTGATTGTGTTATCTCTTAGAAACCTTCATGTAAATTATTTTAGGCAAGGAGTTGTTGCTCAAAAGCTTGTCAAAATAATATGTACTCTGAGTAGGAGAAATATGCTTGATAAGAAGCACTCTTGTAAATCTCCAGAAAAATGATTCTTTCTAGAATTGGTGTTTCCTCAAGTAACTTTCTATTTTGTATACTTGATAGGGCTAAGAGGTCTTTCTAGACTCTTAGAGGTTGTTGTAATATTTCAAGATTAGTGGATTAAGTCCTTTTCTAAGACGAAATCACCTGAGGAGGGTGGACAAGATGTAGCCTTAGTTGAGAAGGTGAACTTGTATAAAAATGAATGTGTTTTTTACTGCTATTAGTTTCTGCATGCTCAAGGCTTCTGTAAACTCTTTAGAAAGGGAAAAAATTCCTACCAACACAATTCAAACCCCATTTTCTTTTGTTTTTCTCCACCTTCATCTCCACCAATGGAGGTTAAACTCTAGCATCCAAATCGCGCCATTTTTGGGCTTATTACATGGAGGATTCATTTAGGCCCTGAGCCAAATTTTGAAGCTGACTACGGTTAGGCTCCATATTGTAGCGGTATAAATGTTGAGACTAGGCCATTGGAATGACTAAACACGCACAAATCAAATAAAAATTGCCACCACACTTTATTGTTTCCAGAGGAATGGGAAAAGAGTGAATAACTCAAAAAAGAGGGGGAGAGAATCTAGGTACGGGGGTTGGTTATGCAAAGGGAAAATATTAGCACCCTAAACATCTACAGTACTCCACAAGAACCTCTTTGAAATTTTTTGTATTTTTGCTATAAATGTTGTATAAAAAATAGATGGTAGAGATGGGAAAAGAAGTATTTTTTACAATTTTGCACCCGCCGCGGTTGCGAACATTTAGTGCCTACGTATCACCTTTTGTGCGATAGGGGGTCAGGGTACTTGTAGTTCACGTTTAAAATTTTTAAAACAAATAAGTGTGTTGGTTAATTTTAAGAGATGACACGTAATCGTCATATCCGAGTGGAAAACATACTTACTACCCACGATTATGAGAAAATGAGAATTTGCATCATCTCAAAGTGGAAGATATAACTTGGATTTTAAAATCAACAAAGCCTCACTCGACACCCAAGTGGAAAATATCTTACTTCACTACATATCGTAGAAGTATAGTAGCTCACATCACTACAAGGATTGACAAGAGTCTAATCTTTTGAGAGAAATTTTAAGTAAAAAAGCCAAAATGGCAAAATGATTTGAATGAGTTTGATTGACTTTAAGTCTTCTCACAAAAATGTCAAAGTATGATTAAGTTGGTTAAAGTTTGATTAAGAAAGTGTTTTTAAAAATGCATGGACCTAAGTCCAAGTTTATTATGAAAGCGGTTCAAGTTAGAAAAAACAGAAGAGTTTTGAAAAGGAAGGAGAAGATTTTTTGGAATTAAAGATGGGAGGAGATGAAGAGACTATCCTAAAGCATAAGGTAAAATCTAGGAAAAAGAATCGTCTAATCAACAAGAAACTAACACTTGACATATGAAGTAATGTAGAATTTCCATCCTTTGGATTGAAATCGAGTAAGAAAAAAAATACTAAACCTCTTAAGACTACCAAGCTTTAGATGAATTAATTCTTCAAAAATTGGGCAGAGTAACGGTTGTATACAGACGAATTCTCAATAACAGACAAAGCATATAATCAGAATAACATGCACACAAAGAAAATCAACCCAATATCTTGGGGGTAAACCCCAATAACTCCAGACAAAATAACAGCAGAATCATAAGGTCCCAAGGGGTAATCAAGGTTTCTAATCCTAAGTTCCACAACTCCATAATGCCAATGATGGTAACCAAATATTCCATGTAACCTTAAGGTTTTTTCGTTCAAGTTGGTTATTAAGTGTCTTCAAAAAGGAAATGAAAAGCTCAAGTGAGCAACACAAAAATGAGATAAAGATAAATGCTCAAGTGAGCAAAGATAAAAATAACATAAAATATAAATGCTAAAATAAATAGTGCGTAAAAGTAAAGGCATAAAGTAAAATCATACGATAAAAGCACAAAGTAAAAGTCAATTGTTAGTGAATTAGAAATTAGAGGTTGGCTGAATGACCGTCTTGAAACTTGCATTTGAAGACTTATTAGAAGATTGATAAAATCAAAACTTCTCAACAACAAGTCTCCTTTGCTTTTTGTTAAGTATATCATTCATTTCAAGTTCTCAAAGCGACAACATATGATCAACGATGTTTAAATGAATCACTTAGACCAAAGTTTATGAAGGTTCATTAGAGAATTAATAAGATTAAAGTCTCCTAACAATGAACCTCAAGGTTGTTGGATCAAATGTTTCAAATTAAACATACTTGGGCTTGCAAATGTAGGTTTGGGCCACGAATGATCATTTTTCGAATCAGGACAAATTTAGCGCTATGTTAAGCAATCGTAAGTGAACTTATGTAGAAGTCGCACCTATTTTGAGACCAGTCAATAGCAATATATGTACTACACAAGTTTTGGAGACGTGATAGAAACCACACTCATGAAACTTATAGCACAAGAAAAGTCAAAAAGAAATAAGATGGAGAAGAAATAGATAAGAGTTAAATTCCACATTTGAACTAAAGAATTTAATCATGCTATCATTAAGATCATTCATCCATTTTGGTTGAGTTCAACTCAACACCCAAGATCAAATAACGTTAATAAAGCCTATGACAAAAAATCTAATGGTTCAATTCCAACAATAAAATATATTCAAGATATAATTGCAATTAACGAAAACAAAAGAAAAAATATGGTTAATTAATTAGAATTTATTGAAGAAATACACATAGTGTATCAAAAACACCAAATAAAACTCCAAGAGATCACCATAAGCCAAATACCAGAAAAGAAGTATTGATAATTTTTTCAGAATTTTTTAATGCATAAAATTATTATTATTTATTAATAAAAACCACTCAAATAAGTGAAAAATAATTTAAAAATAACAAAAATTAAGATTAAATTCCGAAAAAAATATACAAAGTCAGAAATCAAATAGACTATTTTATGAATTTTTTCAGAATTTTTTCGGATAAAAATTAAATTTATTATAAATTTTAAAAGATAAAATAAATTAAAATTAAAGAAAGTAAAACCAGAATAAATCTGAGCCATCTGATCTAGTCAACTTCAGTGCAGTAATTATATCAAAAGGTCCAGATCTATATTACACAGTATGTACAATAGGCTGACATATAGAGAATCAAAATTTATCATCTTCTCAGGTGTGATGACAAGTGGCTCCGATGACCACTTGTCATCACCAAAATCACCGGCGGGAATCCCAAGAAAGTCATGGAGTAAAATAATAACAACAAAAAAAATAAAAAGAAGTAAAAGTAACGTGTACGTTGCTGTAACACGAAATCAATAACACAACATTATTTTTTTTTTAAATCTCCTGCATGTTCATGTGAGACAACAATAACATTTAGTCTCTTTTTTTAAAAGGATATCTCTCTTTCTCTTTCATTAAATAATCATCATCAATATTTCTTTATAAAACAAGAAAGAAAGCATAACAGAATAAGCAAGACCAGAAACGCGGTTGAGCCATGGAGGAGAGGAAGAAAAACGACGGTGAATCTCAAGTTACTTTTCTTGTTCTCTATCCTCTTCCGATTATGAATCTCAAGTTTTTTTTTTTTGAAAGTATGAAGTTTGTTAGAATGGAGCTTGATGAGAACAATTGTGTTGTTGGATTTGTTCTTGTTGCTTTTGAGTATTTCTAACTTCACCCTCTTTGTTTTCTTTTCCATGTGATGATGCATTGTTGGCATGGATGATGGGATTTTTGAAGAAAAAGTCGTGAAATTTTAGAGGACTTGAAGCCATGGCATAGAGTTTGGAAAATGCAAGCATGAATTTAAATGTTTTGGAACTTCAAAGGAAATGTATTCAAGAAGCTTGGAGAATTTCTTATTAAGCTTTAGGAAGATGAACTTGAAAGCTCAAAGGAAAGAAATATTTTGAATATTCTTGTAACTTGTATTCTTTGTAGAGTTAATCTAGGATGAATTTGATTCACATGTAGAATTTTTAAGCTTGAATTATAATGGATATTGCAACTTGTACCTTAAATTATGAACAAAAGAGGTGACTTGTAATAAACTTTGCAATTCCATTTGAAATTTTCTTAATTTTCGAATAAGAAAATGAATCATATGACTTGAAACCCTAGAAATCTCTTGGACATCATTTGAGTAAGCCTTTCAAATTTGAGAATAAACCATGTAACTTTCTTCTTGAAACTTTGGAAGAAATGAACCTTTATAAGTCCTTGAGATTTAATAATGAATATGACTCGAAGAATCAAGAGAAAACTCTTAAATTGAGATGAATTTGCCTTGATTTTACAATGAATGAACTTGAATTGAGTAAACCTCTGGTTTATAATTTCCGAACTCATGAAAATAAGACATTTCTTCCACATTTTGAATCGAAGTTTTTAATTAATTTGAATCCATGAACTCTTAAACTAAAAATCTCATACCAAAGCTCACTATTTTCCAATCCAATTCTCTACCAATGAAACTTCACACAAAAGTCCATTGCCTTAAAAACTCATGGTGCAAATTGAAATTAGAGGTCAAGATGACCTATAATGTTTCAGTAGAATCCACAACTTTCTAAGCACAATTTGACTTCGAACCTTAAAGAAAATTTGTAGACAACGCCATTTGTGATACCGTGTGAAAAGAAAAAATCCCAAAATGATGAAAGTTAAAAGAGTTATGATCATCGAAAGTTGGATTCCCGTCACTTGAAAATAGGTCAAAGCCCTCAAAACGACCTCTAATGTACTCAAACTTTTGATGGTCTTCTACACATAATTAGTTCTCGAATTTTAAAGAGAAATTGGAGATGACGTCAAGGAGATTCATATGCTCGAAGAATCAACCAAAAATATTGAATAATGAAGAAGTTGTGATCTTTTAAACTCGAACTTGCAAATATTGACTTTTGGTCAACCTACTTTGAATCCACTTGCAGACTTTATCTTTTTCCACAACCCGAGGCATTCTTAATCACGCATGTACTTAAGATAACGAGATTCAGATTAAACAATGTTCACCCTTGTAAGAATTTGATATTATTCGTCGAAGAAGGCATGCAAATAAACACATGGATCTATCTCGAAGATTCTTGAGAATTTAAGCAACCAAACTTGCCTTAACCGTGCCAACTGAAGCTTAAATAGCGTGACCTAAAATTATAGATCACCATTTTTGAAAAGAAAAATAAACCTTTGAGAATTAGTCATTGGCCTGAATACACCACAACCTTAATCAGAGAACCATCGCCTAAACTCCTTGATCTAAAACCCTGTCTTCTAAAAGACACAAAATAAACAAGACATATTTTGGATTTTGGTTAGAGGTCAGTAAAATATAAAGAACATGTCTACAAGATATACAATTAGGGTGCTTGGTGATCCCTCAGGAGCAAACGCAAAGATAAGAAACAGTATAAGTGATAACCAAACCCTAATGCGTGATTTTGATGCATTTTGATGGTATGAGATGATGAGAAATCTTAGGGGCAAAAATTGGGGTATAACACATATAGATGTTGTATTTATAATGCTTGACAAAGCCTTCTGCCAAAGTCTCTCCAGCTTCGGATATGTTGCCTTTCCAAATTCATATACCACTCCAAAGATACCCCAGACAGGCTATCCTGAAATTAATGAATCAACATCCCTTCCTCTTCTGTGTGCACTGACATTTTGCGATAATAAGCTTTCACATGCGTCCTTGAACAAGTGAGCCCATTAAACTTTTCAAATATAGGAGGCTTGAACTTCTTGGGGACCCTTACTCCAGGCACCAGTCCTAAATCATTGGCATCCATTCCCAGGACACTCTGGCCTTCCACAGCCTTTAATCGCTCCTCAGGAATTTGATACTTTCGATCCTCAACATGGAAACCTGGGTTAGAATTTTGCACAGAATACTGGTCTTTATTGTCATAATCAAACGTCAGTATCTGTTGGTTCCTTCTGTTTTGATTTCCTCCTCTTTATCCCATAAGAAGATTAGATCCAGGGGATGGTGGAAAATTCCCATGGTTGTGATGAAACGGATTATAGGGACGCTGGATAACCTATTCGTGATTATTTCTAAGTCCAATAGAGATGTTTGCATACAGCCCCTGATTTATATCCTCATTTTGATTTCTATGAGGGTTGTCAACAAGATCCCTTAGCTCATCCTGCCTTATGTTCACGTTGGTGATCACCTCCATGAACTGGATCATTTTATTGGCCATCTGGGCCCTCATCTCAGCTAGCTCTGCCTGTACCTGTTCCATCTTCCATGGTAGATTACTTCTAGTTGAGTATCAGCGAGTATTCGTCTTGAATTCTGATAAGAAAAGTAGAACCAAGAGACAAGAATATCGGCTTGGAAAATCTGTAATGCATTAAATGCATGATATGCATGTTATATTTGTCATCTCCGGGATTTTCAAGAGCTTTGTTAACCATCAAGAATGACAAACAAACATGATAACAAGAGATAAGCATTAATAGGAAGAAATACAGTGACAAACACTGCTTTTCATTCATAATTAACTTTGGATCAAAATAGTTCATACAAAAGAAAGTCATAGTGCATCATAAAACATAAAGATCACATCCAACAAGACCGGTGGTGATCATACAATAGAAAAGAAAGCAACAAATCAAAGAGGTGGGTCCCTCATCTTCGTGTAATACAAAGGTCGTCCCTGTCTGAAGTATTTTGCACTCTAATCTTTGGTTTCCTTGAATAACCTCTTTGTCTTCTCATGATCACGTCCTCGAGCAAAACTATCAATCACCACATCTTTCTTGTACATATGAGTTTCCAGATATTGACATTGTTCAAGGAATCTATCATATTCTTTTTACTCTGGCAGTGGAATGGGTACGGGTGCATTCTCTATCTTCTATAACTGAGCTTTGATTCTTGCATTCTCCTCCATCACCCAGGTTGTCTGAGCTTCCTTTGCATCTATGTCCAATCTGGTACTTTTGAGTTGTTTTTCCAGCTCTCTGACCTTTCCTTTATACTTGTTGTTGGACACTTGAAATTTTACGCACTCTAGGTGCCTTTTTTTCTGCATCTTTAAGGGATCTTTGGTAGTATTCTGTAGAAACAGAAGCATCTTCCACTCCAGGTCTTATCTTAACCTTTCTGACTCCAGGATTACTTATTCCTTCATACCCTTTAAGCTTGCGCACCAAGTCTTTATTTTATTATCTCAGGAAGTATAGCTCCATCTCTTTGTCCTTAATATCCCGGAGGAGTTCCCTATTTTCCAATTGCACTTGGTAAAAACGTTCTTTAGGTACATCATTTTGTAGCTCAATAGGCTGAGGATATAAAGGATCCTCATTTTCAAAAGGCAACATAAGAACCTTCACCTTATCCTTATCCCAATCCACGTAAGGACCATAAGTTATTACCTCTTTCGCTCCAAAGAACACCTTCCCTTTCCTGGTGACATTTCCCCGTGCAATCTCTACTTTCTTCATCAACTCAAGATCTCCCCCCTTCTTGCAATACACAAGATTGTAGCTAATTATCCCTTTTGTTCCTATGAGTGGAACATTAGAGAAACCTGAACAATTGGAAATCACCTCGAGACTTTCAACCATGAGTTTATACCACCGAATATCTAAAGAAGTGAGTTTCATTAGTCTTGATGCCCACGTACGAGTGTCCTTACTACTCACAAGTGGCCCCTTTGTAGGTAATTGTGCCATGAAACATTTTTAGTGGTATACAACAAACCACTAATCCTTTCTTTCCATGCCTTGAGTGAATAGCATGGTAAGTGTCAGCTAACAGGATGGGTACTGGATTCTTGTTCAGGAAAACACAGAGAGCATCTAAATCCACTATTTCTTTTATTTCAAGAAAAGGCCAAACACTAGAATAGAACTTGTAACTGAAATTATCTCTTGTAGTCCTCTCAATGGTGTCAGAATTGCTTGCCATTCTCGGAGGAGATGAAAACTCTAGAGTATCCTGGAAATGACAATGCATATCCAGGTTAACATTTTTTGTACATCATTTTTTGAAAGTAAATATGCTATGATGCAACAAGACAGGATCAAGGTTTCCATAACATTGGACACTACTAAACTATTGTATAGAGACAAAAGACACTGGATCAAAAGTTTGAAACAGTCACCAACGAGAACCAAATAATCACCAACAGAACCATAGTCACCAACGGTACCAATAAGATCATCCATTCCCTACTCACGGGTGAAGTATAGGTTAGGGTAAGGAGAGGGTGACTCAGAATCATGGGTCCGCCTGAAAGTACTATCATCGCAACAACAGACGTGTATGATGATAATACCCCATTTGTACCTCAACTGAGCATGGTACACATGACCGCACTAGTAGGACCTCGTCCAGTAGCTGTCATGTCTCCACTCTAGTCGTAGGGTTCCTAATGGTTTACAACTTTGGCCTGGGTACTGGTCCCTTTATCTCAATAGTATCATCCCATCCAAATAGATAAACAGCACAATAGCAATATCCAGAGTATAGGAAACCATGAAATAAGATGTAATGCATGAAAGCAAACAAAAAAATGAAGCAAAAAAGAAATAAACAAACAAAACACCCAAAGAACAGAAAATAAACACAAGCTAGGACTGACTTGCATAGGATGGACCAATAATTGTTTCTATTTTCCCCGACAGAGTCGTCAACTGTCGCCTCTGGGATTTCCATTGAAGCATGAACAAAGGCGAAAGACAGAAGAATCTCCATCAATA